ATATTATTGCTGGGGCAAATATAATGAGGGAAAGATCTTATTGTCAATTTATTTTTTAAATATTTTGGAAACACCATTTTCAAATATTTGAGCACCTCCATCATTACTGTTATGAATACCATCAATTTGTGCAAAGATTCAAGGCTCCTTATATGAGGATTTTCTACTTTGGAGTAGGGAGTTAAGCCAAAACAAATCTTACTCTTGACTTCTACGAGGAAGGGCTTGTTAGAATGTCCCAGTTACAGACTTACTCCCATCAATGAAGCATGTTTAAATTCCTTTTTACTATCTCTTATCTGTTGTCTCATGTCTTTCTCACTTATTTTTTTCATATATTTTCCTTTGAATTTTATTGATTTTCATTTTTCTTTCATTTCTACAACTCTTTCTCTCCAAATGTCTCCCAATTTTTCTTGCCTATTTTTACTTCTTGTTCCAACCACATTTTATTTCAACTTGCCTTTATTGTTCTTTAATTTCTTTTTCTAATATTTTTTAATGTTTATTTATTTTGGAGAAAGACAGAGTGTGAGGGAGGGAGAGGCAGAGAGGGAGACACAGAATCTGAAGCAGGCTCCAGGCTCTGAGCTGTCACCACAGAGCCCAACGCAGAGTTCAAACTCACAAACAGGGAGATCATGACCTGAGCTGAAGTCAGATGTTCAATCGACTGAGCCACCCAGGTGCCCCCATCTGTATTTCTACCATCCATAAAATTCCCTTCTTCTATAATGTTAGCCATTATCTCAAGAAAATTTTTCATTTTCTTTTTTCATATTTATTGTAAAGCTGCCTCTTTTCCCCTTTTGGGTCATGGAAAAAAACAATATCTGTGGCTTTATTCACTAATTTACTTATTTTATAAATCTTTAACAGATGCCTACAGTATATAAGGCGCTTGGTAGGCACCACAGTTGAGGAGTAGCAATAAAGAATGAATAAGGAAGATGAATTAAAAAACCATGATTTCTTTCCTCTCTTGTCCATAATATAATAAGAAATAGATACAAATAAAGATAAAGGCAGTATAATATCAGTACCATCAGAAAAATATATTTTTCTCTGGTGATATAGGAATGACATGAAAACCCCTTATAAGGAGGCAATCTCTGTGAGGAATCTTGAGCAATGGAAGGGTATCAGTGGAAGGGGTCTGAGAACAAAATGAACAATAACATGAGAAGAAAGAGAGAATGATTTAATCATGTCAAAGCATAGGGCTTATGTGAATAATGGCTGGAAATTTTGTACATTATTTGTCAGACAATAAAGATGGTCCCTCTGCAATACTCATAATCATCTCTACCTTTTGGTAAACCTTTTCCACCTTTCTGTAAACTCAATGGAAAAGACTGAATATCATGATTACCTATTCTCATTCTTTTTTAAACTTTTTATCTGTTGTAAAATGGGTAAAAAGAGTATTTAATTCATCAGAGTTTGATGAAAATTAAATGAGTTAATAAATGTAAAGTACTTATAACTGTTCCTGAAACATATTAAGTGCTATAAAAGTGTTTCTTCTGCTTGATGTTTTTGTTATGTTAAAAGGTTAATTGAGGGCAATTCAAATACCCTATATTCCTTCCGTGAAGTTTTTTCTAATTTTTCCAACCCACTCTGATCTTTTACTTTATTGTACTCTTTGTTTGTGTTATCTAGTTAATATTTAATTATTCTGTAATTACTTGGGTATTTTCATTTTATGTGTTCATGAGGTCATAAGATCCTTTTGGCAGGTTGGACAAAGCATTGCATACTTGCTTGATTTGTGGAACTAATATGATTGAGGACACCTAATAAGACTCAAAGAAACATTAGCTAAGCTAATCAATGCATTCCATATCTTTTTTTTTTTTAATTTTTTTTTAACGTTTTATTTATTTCTAGGAGAGAGAGAGAGAGAGAGACAGTGTGAGCAGGGGAGGGTCAGAGAGAGAGGGAGTCACAGACTGAAACAGGCTCCAGGCTCTGAGCTGGCAGTCAGCACAGAGCCCGACGCGGGGCTCGAACCCACGATCCGCGAGATCATGACCTAAGCGAAAGTCGGACGCTCAACCGACTAAGCCACCCAGGCGCCCCCAATGCATTCCATATCTTACAAGTGAATAAGAAACTAGTATGAAATATAAGCCTGCTCATTCATTAGTGGAAATTGATAACTCTGTGGGGTGCCTGGGCAGCTCAGTTGGTTAAGCATCTGACACTTGATCTCAGCTCAGGTCTTGATCTCAGGGTCATGAGTTCAAGCCCTGCATTGGGGTCTGCACTGAGCATGAAGCCTACTTAAAGAAAAAATAATAATAAAAAGAAAAGAAATAAAGGAAGAAAGAAAATTATAAATAAACTCAGAAGATGGCTAAGACCTGTTCAAATAAACTAACAGCGTTTTACTGTTTGGGGGTTATTTGACAGTATCATGGGATATTTGTTGGCCACTTACTATTACATACCAATCTATCCATAATAAATTCGTTATTTAACTAAATTTTCACAACTGTATGAGATCTTATAAATGATTGAGGCTCAGAGAGATTCACAGTCATGCTGTCAATAATAATGACAGATCTAGAGTCCAAATCTGTGTCTACAAAACTCCAAGTACAGTTGACCCTTAACACAGATTTGAAACGCATGGCCCCACTTACAAGCAAATTATATTCAATACAGTGCAGTACTATAAATATGCGTTCTCTTCCTTATGATTTTCTTAATTACATTTTCTTTTCTCTAACTTACTTATTGTAAGAATAAAGAATATCAACTGTTTCCATTATTGGTAAAGCTTCTGGTCAACAGTAGATTAATAGCAGTTAATTTTGGGGGGGATTCAAAAGTTGTACATGGATTTTCCACTGCATGGGGGTCAGTGTCCCAAGCCCTCGTGTTGTTCAAGGGTTAACTGTATGTGCTCTTTCTTCTGTAACATCTTCTATTGATAGAAGTAAGATAATTGGTGAAAAATGTTATTTTTGGACTAAAGAGGTATATTTCATAGGCAAACAATTATGGAGATACAAATAAAGTAAGAATAAAAAATCAAAATGCATATTTCTAGAAATATCTATGGAAATCTAGCAAGAACCATCAAATGTCAAAAGTTATTTGATTTAAATTTGATTTAAATTTGATTTAAAATTCTGCAAGCTTATTGTAAAGTCACAATACATATTAATATTGAGATTTTTCAATGATGAAACAAATACTTTTATTTTACGGGTGGTATGAAAAATGTTGGACACATGTTTACTGAGAGAACAAAGTCCATAACAATAAAATGCTTTGATTTTTATTTCATGTTTTTAAAGATCTGTCTAAATTTTTTCTTGACCCCAAGAGTGAGTCATTTCTTTGATAATTTGGTGAAGGATTAACACATCATTAAATAGAGCCTGCCATTATGTCCACTCCTTTAGCCAGCTCTGGCTATTAACTTAATAGTTAAGTTACCTAAAAATCTGCTTAACTGAATAATTAAGTTACCTAAAAATCTGCTCCTCTCGTGCATTCAAAACAATGTTCACTTTTCAAAACAATGTTTATTAAGTACCTGTGATGTGCCAGGCATTCCTCTAGGATCTTGGGATAGATATATCAGTGAGAAATCAAAGATACCCTTGCAGAAAAAACAAAAAGGGATTAGGAATACATGAAAGGGTGGTGATAAGAAATTGTTGCAATGTTTTTAGTTTATTTATTTATTTATTTTGAGAGAGAGAGAGAGAGAAAGCAGGGGAGGGGCAGAAAGAGAGGAGAGAAAGAATCCCAAGCAGGTCCTGCACTATTAGCACAGAGCTTGATACTGGGCTTGATCCCATGTGAGATCATGATCTGAGCCGAAATCAAGAGTCAGATGCTCAACACACCCAGGCCCTCCAGAAATCACTGCAATTTAAATAGGCTGGTCAGGATGGTCTCCATAGAAAAGATGGCATTTGACCAAACACTTGAGGGAGTTAGGGAAAATGCATTCCAGGTAGAGGCTTAGTATCCCTAAAAAGTACTCCTAAGAGGATTCTTAGGGAAAATGCATTCTAGGCAAAGAAGCTGTTTGTGCAAAGGCCCTAAGGCAAGGTGTTCCTGATATTTTTGAAGAACAGTAACGAGTCCAGTATAGTTGGAAAGAAATGAGAGTAGTAACAGATGAGTTTAGGGATGAGCTTGTGGGCTTTTACTTAAAGGGAAATAGGCAGCCCTTGTAGAATTTTGAGCAGAGGAGTGATATGCTTTGATATATATTTGCAATGAAAAATAAATAGCATAAGGCCATATAATAACTTATTTAAACATAATTTTAAAGTAGTAGGCTAGCAAAGGGGAGAAATAAATTGACTACATCCAAAATATTGATTTTTTTTCTTCTTGGATATTAAAAATTGTGTATTCCTTAAATCTTTTCTAGTTAAGGATAAATATCAAAGAGTAAACTATAATTCTAATAGAAAGAAATCATTCTCTATTCACCTAGGCTTAGAATAATGCCTTATTGTATCATTATAAACTTTTGATCATTAAAATTAGAATGTTAATAGCCTTTAAAATGTATTTATCAGCTTATCCAGTCATAAATCACCTAGGTTAGTAAATATTTTTATTAGTATTGCTTTAATATGCAGAATCGTTGGATTTTTTGGATGACCTGCATTTTTGGTGCAGTTAAAGATCACAAATCTGCAGAGAGCCCATTAGCAATCTCAGCTGCCAGGCTTCCAACAATGCCAGTGTGCAGGTGAGGAGGAATGAATAGGTAAAATCAGGGAAGGATAGGAATCCTGCCACAAGCCAGGTAGGAATGGATGGTCAGCACATCTTATCACAATATTCAATGGGGAGGGTGAACTTCTTCCCTACATAGGCCAGCACTGAGGCCCAAAAAAGGGAAGCCAAGGAATAGTTGGGCTGCTGTAATGCTCACCTAGTGTGTTAGTTTGCTAAGACTGTCTTAAGAAAATGTCACAGTCCAGGTATCTTAAGCAACAGAAATTTATTTTGTCACAGTTCTGAAGGAGAGAAGTACAAGAGCAATGTTGTCAGGTTTGGTTTCTTCTGAGACTTCTTTCCTTGGGTTGCAGATGTCCACCTTCTCATTATATCCTCGAATGCTTACTCCTCTGCATGTTTTCTGTGTCATAATCTCTTGTTATAAGAACACCAGTCGTACTGGATAAGAGACATGACTTCATTAATTACTCCTTTAAGGGCCCAATCTCCAAAGAGTTACATTCTGAAGTACTGGGAATTAAGATTTCAACATATAAATTGGGTGGCTATGGATAGGAGAAGGAGGAAGGACACAATCCAGCCCATAACACCTAGCATCAAGATCTAAATGATCCATCTGGTTGAAGCAAGACTTGGGACCAGAACTCCCAATTATCTAACTAGGCAGTAGGCAAAGTAAGAGAACCCAAACATGTTTTTGTTTGTGTTTGTTTTATCGATGGCAGATTTTAATATTTTCATAAAGTATCAAAGCAATCATTATGAAAATGCAGAACTTCACTATAGTTTCTTTTCTTATTTTAATGTTTATGTATTTATTTTGAGGGAGATGAAGAGAGAGAGCAAGGAAGTGTGTATGCATTGGGGAGGGGCAGAGAGAGGGAGGGAGAGAATCCCAAGCAGGCTCTGCCTCACAAAAAGTGAGATCATGACCTGAACCATAATCAAGAATCTGCTGCTTAACTGACTGAGCCACCGAGGTGCCCCTGTTATGCTTGGTAATATAAAGTCTTACTTGGCTGAGCACTAAGGGAGCAGCCCAGCCAAGTGAATGGGCATTAGAGGCAGGGGCCCTGGGCCTAGCATCGTAATTGGATTGCAAATCAGAAAACTCTGACTGAATCCCAGTTATAGGGTTCAGAGGAGTAAAGAGAGTCAGAAGGGAAGACTGTCACTGTAGATTGGAAAAGCCAAGCACTCATGCTGGACATACCTGATATGAGAACTGGGTTACCAGGTTTGGTTTGAATTCCATGAGGATCCTCGAAGGGTAAATCCTAAAAAGGTGGTGGAAAGACATATGCTTTAAGGCGAAAAAGTTCTAAATCAAAAAACTAAATATGTATTATACTGATTGTGATCTATGAAATGTGATCAAACTTCTCTGGGTCTCAATTTCAGTTTCCATAATGCTAGTTCCTTCCTTTACTCTTTTCCCCAAAGCTGACAAGGACTGGAGGAGATCATTACTGACAATTACATGTTTAATACACTGAAATGTAAACCAGAACTACACAGACCCAGAAACAGCTTATCTTCAATCACCAATGACTGCAAAGCCATGTATGTAATAAAATCTATAGTTTTCTGGTTTTGTATTAATTGGTTACGGATACCAAAAAATAAAGTACTCCTTTAATCTGTACCTAATAGTCAAAACTCCCTCTAACACCAAATATTAGATCCTTTTCTATCAAGCTTAAGTGTTTGTTATTGCCATAGAAGCGTGATGTTGACTTTTCTGGTTGCTAGGAGCGTCATAGTGTTGGATACGTATACAATAGCATTCTGTTAGCTCAGATGTGGGGCTTTTTAATCAGCAGGACTTTTTCTCTATATACCAGTAAAATAGTTGGAAGGGTAGATTTACCATGCAAATCATACATGAAAATCTGAATTAACTAATCTAAAAAATAAAAGTGTGACTATTTAAAGGCATGTTTATGGGTTTTTTGTTCCTTGGTTTTTTGCAGCAGCATCTTTCAGAATGAAATAAATAAATAAATAAAAGCCTTGAAACAAAACGGATGCCCACCAGTACGTAGCAGAATGGTTAAATATATTGTGCTTCACACACACCATGGAATACCATGGAGTCATCAAAAGAAGTAAATTAGAGCTACGTTAGTTGACTTGAAAGAATTTCCACTCTGCATTGTCAAGCAAGAAAGGCAAAATGCAGAAAATTAGGTATGTGCAGCAATGCTCACAGCAGCACTACTCACAATAGCCAGAAGTGGCACCATTTAAAATTTAAAACATATTAATTATAATTTTCATTAAATTTTAAATTCTACATAATTCTTAATATTTAAGCTTAAGCATACTAATGTAATTTTAATTTCTCAATTTTTTGCATTTATCTTAAATAATATTTTATGAAATATATTCAAATCTGGATTTTAAGTATAATTGTGCCTTGAAAATGATTACATTTTTAATACTTTGATTATTACCATCAACAAAACACAAATCATGTGAAAATCATGGTAACAACCTAATTATTTTGTTGAAATACAGGCAAGAAAACACAATTTTATAGAACAAACATATGATAATTTATGAATTATGTATGTCTTTATTTTATTGATCATCTAAGACACCATTTCCCAACCAACAGAATGCTAGACAGTAATAATTCAATGTGGTCAGTTTGGATATTTTGCCAACTTAGTGTCTTATAATACTATAGCTTTATATATTTCTTTCAAATTTGTTGTTATGAAGACATTTATCAAGATAGGAAGAGAGACATATTTTATTTAACAGTTTGTTAACTTCAACAATTTGTTAACATGATCTTTAAGCGTTCTAAAATATGTATGTGGGCCTCCATTTTTACTTTAAGCCGGGTTACCCAAATCTTCCAGACTGGCCTGGAAAGCCCTCTGAACACAGGGTCTACCAGAATCCTAAGATTAGGGTACTTACAGAAGGGCATAGTCTCTGGCTCCAGGTATCTTGAAGCTTAGGTTAGTCAACAGTGGAGAAAGCCAATACACTGTATCTAGCCAATACACATATGCTGAACTTCATTTTATCAAGGAAAAATCAAGTCCACATCCCTTATCTTAATTAACAAAATTTGAGAAGTCGATGAAATAAAAACTAAAATTAAGACCAACCCTTCAGAGAGTAGGCTTTTGATTAGTCTTCTAAGTGCTAACTAACCACCCCTGGAGTATGCATTCCTAATTAGGGTATTTCAAATGCTAACTAACTGCCCTTAGGGATACATTGCAATGAATTATCACACTACAGACCACTGTTGAAATGGAAGTATTTTAAAATAAATTATAGCAAATGTAACAATAATTATATATAAAGTCTTTATAAATAAGAGTCCTACCACTAATTTGCAGTTCTTTAATGTGTTCTTGTAAGTCCTTGATTCAGAGAATGTAAGACTTTTCTCTGGAAAGTCAAGTCATTCAGTTCTATCTATTCTAACCACACTGTGAGCCCACACACAAAAAAGGATATTTCCCTAGATGCTGCTCGTAGTAGTTGGCTAAACTTTAAAGAAGTTAGAAGTATTCCATCATTGCCATCTCTCCCTACACACCTCTCAGATCATGCCACACATCCATGACAGTGGTTAATTGCTAACTGAAGCCAGTTGCTCCAGTTATGAGTAGATTTGTCTTTAAGGTATAAGTAGATTTCTATACTCAAGCCATATAATCCAGATTAATTTAATTGTTGAAGGGACTCAGGTCTTCATCATCAAATGATTTGAATACAATGATCATTTAAAATCAACTATCTAGAAAGATGAAATCCAAACATATATCTTAGCCGCTACTCCCACTTGGAGCAATACCAGTCCCAAGGGAATGGAAACTGGAACCCTATCATGATGCTATTCTAGTAGAAATAATGGAAAGCTTGTATCACAGACCGCGTTGCTATCTACTACATTTTTCTAATGCTTCCAGTCTTTTTAAATTTTCTGACCTTAAGTTTTCTTTCTTATCAATATCTCTCTTTGTGGGTCTGGGCCTCTATTGGGAAATTTGTGGGATACATGAAGTTCCTATTTATCATCCAGTTGTTGGGATACCTGTGAAAGAGTACCTTCACCCTGCTTCTGGGATGGCTAAATAAGAACTGTATTTAAATTTTAGATCACTCATCTGCACTGGCTGCTATACAAGTTATTTGGCTTAGCTTGATGTGTCTCTGCTTCCTGTCCAATAACAGTAACTGGAAAAGGCTACAGTTAGTGTGACCAACCATCGTGGTTTGCCTGGGTCTGAGGGACTACCTGTGGCATAGGATTTTCAGTACTAAAATAGAAAGTCCTGTGCAAACCTGGACTTGTCACCTTTTGTTGGGTGATGGATCAGATTTTAACAAATTTGGCATATAGTGGAAGTTTTCCGTAGAGCCAGCCCCAGTCTGGTACAAGGGTTACTAACACATGTCCTACTCAAAAGCTTTACTCAGCCAGGGCCTCTGCACCCAAGTTGTAGCCTTAGAAAATAGAAGGTTCTTCTTTGATCTTCTTAAAATTTTTAAGAAATTACCTTTCACAATTTTTTAGCTCTCTACTTATTCAAAAGCCTACTATAGGATCTTTAAGCATTTTGCCACTGTTATCAAAGTATTGTTTGTTTTAAAGACAAATGACCTCAATCCTGGCACTATAACATTACGTTAATGTCTAGCATTTCCAGGATTCTGATATTTGTTACACTAATAGTTCTTGAATCATATGCCTCTGACTTGAGCTATCCTTAAGTTTTCTGTCTCTTTATTTTTCTTCTTTTTTAAAATAATTTTTTTTCATGTAGTTATTTTTGAGAGACAGAGTGAGACAGAGCATGAACGAGGGAGGGGCAGAGAGAGAAGGAGACACAGAATCTGAAACAGGCTTCAGGCTCTAAGCTAGCTGTCAGCACAGAGCCCGACGCAGGGCTCGAACCTGTGAACTGTGAGATCATGACCTGAGCTGAAGTCGGACACTTAACCAAGTGACTCACCCAGGCGCCCCTATTTTCTCCTCTTATAAACACTAAAAAGTATATATGGGGTAAGATCGATTAACTTATAAGTAGTTTCCTTGTGATTTAAAAAAATTAATGTTTATTTTTGAAAGAGAGAGAGAGAGGGTGGGTGAGGGGCAGAGAGAAAGGAAGACACAGAATCTGAAGCAGGCTCCAGGCTCTGAGCTATCAGCACAGAGCCTGAGGCGGGGCTCAAACCCCTGAACAGTGAGATCACGACCTGAGCTGAGATGCTCAACCAACTGAGCCACCCAAGTGCCCCAGGAGTTTCCTTATCATTAAGTAGAGTACATTCTATGCAAAGGGTTTCTAAAACTGAAATTATTCATTCAACAAATATCTATTGAGCAGTTCCTATATTATTAGCACTATGTTCACTGCTAAGGATATAACAGTGAACATTGTAAGCACAATCTTTCAGGCCAATAAGGGCTGCTCAGAAGTCAATGAGCAGTAGCAGTGTGGTAAATATCATGAGGCTCAAGGTCTATATGCCATGGAACATATGAGAAGATCAACTAATGCCAAATATTTGGAACCATGGAAGACTAAATGGTCTTAACACTGAACTGTTCATTTATTCATTGATTAATTCAACGCATATTTATTGAGAGTTGAACACGTATAAGGCACTCTGATAGCTATTGCAGATGAAAATAAATATAAATAGGACATAATCTTTATGTTGGAGTTTCGTAGTCTAGTATAAAAATGCATGTAAATAATTACAATATGATATAGTAAGTGCTATAATAAAGGTCTCCAGGGAAGGTTCATAAAAGAGATGACTTCTGTATGGAATTCTACTCTTCCTTGAAAGTTAAGCAGAAACTTGAGGTATAATGGGGTAGAAGAAGGGCTCTCTACACAGAGGCAACATCTTGTGGAAATATGAAGAAGTGTGAAAGAACATGAGGAGTAGGGTATCAAGCAGTTGGGTGTAGCTAAAGGTAGGGGTAAGGTGAAGAGTGATAGACAATGACTGGAAAGACAGGTGGGATCAGAGCAGAAAAGATCTTTTATGCCATCTTAAGAGGTTTGAATTTATTTTGAAATTTATGGAAAGCTACTGAATTGTTTTAAGTCAGGAAGTGACCTTTTCAGATTTGTGTTTCAGAAAGATACCTCTAAAGATTGTACGGTGGCCTGGAGGAGGAAGTATTTTTTTCTGACCCTCAAAACCACTCTGTGAAGTATGTATAACAAGTATTTTCACTCATATTTTATATATAAGCATCTAGGACTTGGAGGTGTCTACTGATTTTCCTAAGGCCCATGGGTCATTCCAAAATTGAAGAAACTCAGCAGCTTGTCCTGATAGGAATGTAGATGGAAGCCTCTGTGCAGTTCTCCTTTGATTTCAGTCATACTATCCTTGAAAATAATCTTTAAAAGCTAGTTCTGCTTGCACTACTGATTCCAACTAGTTTTGGGGTAGTTGATTAGGTAGAATTTGTACAATCTGAATCAGAGGCTTTGAAGCATCAAAGTGTCTCACAATATGTTATTCTGTTTCCTAAGTAAAATCCTAGGCCACTCATATTTTCTGATGTTATTCTAAATCTTCTAAATCTTACACCTGGGCTGGAAATGAGTCATAGAAATATTTCAACTTTTAAGTTTTCAGTCAACAGGAGGAAATTCACTTTAAGAAAGTGACATTTTTATTCTCTAATACTGTAAATATTTCAAAATTGTGAACTCTGTGTCAAATGAGTTTCTTCTTATATTTGTGAGATTTGTAGGTGCAAATAACTATGAATTAGCTTGATTTAGTTTTCTTCCTTTCTCAGGTTTATAACTGAGTGTCATATAATTGCAAGTGGGTCAATAATGATTTTCTCTTCCTCCCAAAAATGTCTCTAATAAGTACTTAAATTTTGTTTATAGATGACAATAAATACTAAGGATTAAGTTCATAGAAAAAGAAAACAATAGTTTAAATTATTTCTGTAACATCTGGATTTCGTTAAGAGGTGAAGGGTGAGTAATAAAAAGTCTGTACTTATAGCAGAGAAAGGTCAGTTTACTAATTTTTTCTTTAGAATAGTGGTTCTCAGGATCAGCAGCATCTGCATTACCTGGGAACTTGTTAGAAACCTGAGCCTCAGATCTAGTTGGTGGAGTAGAAGGAAAAGCGATCTGTTTTTTTCTGAAGCCCTCAAGGCAATTCTAATGTAGGCTAAAGTTTGAGGCACACTGGTATAGAGGAAAAAAAATCATGTTTCAGACTATGAAAGACATGGTTTAAATTCCAAAGTAATGTGATTTTAGACACATCATCTATTTCCTGGTCATATCACTAGGCTTCCTGGTTAACAACTTATCCCCTTAGCTGGTCTCATGAGTGGATGGATACTATCCAAAGTGATACCTGCTTGTTTGTTATATTGACCGTCGTCCCCCCTCCACGTGATTTGGATGCATGTTTAAGTTGGAAAACCATTGATTTATAAGATGCAATATATTGAAAGCAGACCAGCTACAGAACCTGAAGAGCTCAATGCAGAAGGAAAATGCAGGCTACCTTCTTCAAAAATGAAGAATTTCAAGGCGGTGACAACAAAGCATTAAACCAACCATCAAAGTACAGAGCCCTATAACCCATAAGCCTACAGTTGTACAGGTTGAATGCCCAAAGAGTAGCGTCTGCTTGTATCTAACCACACCTTTTTTTTTTTTAAGATGGAAATACTACAATGCCATGAAAGTAGGCCACATTTTCCCCTCAGACACTATCAATCTTCCCTCCTGAGCTGTCACTCTCCATGCTTATTAGCCTCCTATCTTTTCTCACTTTTGCCTTCCTTTCAGCTATATGTGTGCAATTGTACTATACAAGACCCAACTTAAGGTCACCATCCTCCATTACATCTTCCTTTGCTACTTTAATTTACTTAATCATCTTTCTAGTATTTTATAGTATTTTTATGCCATAATTTGAGTTCTTCTTTAAAAAAAACTAATGACTGCTGATCATTGTGTTTATCTTGTTTCTTGAGTTAGAATATAAGTATCTTAAGCATTGAGGTGATGCCATCATCATACAATGAAAAGAGCACAGGCTTTTTTTTTTTTTTAACTTTTGTTTATTTTTGAGAGATAGAGCATAAATGGAGGAGGAGCAGAGAGAGAGGGAGACACAGAATCTGAAGCAGGCTCTAGGCTCTGAGCTGTCAGTACAGAGCCTGATGCTAGACTCCAACCCATGGACTGTGAGATCATGACCTGATGTCGGACGCTTAATCAACTGAGCTGCCCAGGTGCCCCTGAGCACAGGCTTTTGAGCTTAATAAACCCTGGGTGTAAATTCCCTCTCTCATTTACTAGCTTCCATATAGGTAAATTAATTCAGCTTTGGGCCTTAGAATCTTCATTAGAAAAATGGTATGAAAAGATCTGCTTTGGGGCGCCTGGGTGGCTTAGTCGGTTAAGCGTCCGACTTTCACTTAGATCATGATCTCGCGGTTTGTGGGTTCGAGCCCCGCGTCGGGCTCTGTGCTGACTGCCAGCTCAGAGCCTGGAGCCTGCTTCAGATTCTGTGTCTCCCTCTCTCTCTGACCCTCCACTGCTCGCGCTGTCTCTATTTCTCCTAGAAATAAATAAAACATTTTAAAAAAATTAAAAAAAAAAAGAAAGATCTGCTTTATTGTGTTGTTGTGAGGGTTAAGTGAGATAATATGTACAAAGCTTTGGGCATATATAGGTGCTCTGAAATATTAGTTCTTTAATGCAGGTACATTGGATGTATCCTGCCATATATCTGATTTTGCTTCAGCAAACAGATGAGAGCTGATCACAAAGTCACTATTCAATAAAAATCTGCTCATTGGAAATTGTATGTATTTTATTTTTAATGTATTATTTTTCACATACCCAGGAAGTAAACAAATCCTGTGGTGAATTTTTTTTTAATTTTTCATGTTTATTTATTGAGAGAGAGAGAGAGAAAGAGACAAACCATGAGCAGGGGAGGGGCAGAGAGAGGGGGAGACACAGAATCTGAAGCAGGCTCCCAGCTCAGCTGTCAGCACAGAGCCTGGCGCAGGGGCTTGAACTCAGGAGCCATGAGATCATCACCTGAGCTGAAGTTGGATGCTTACCTGATTGAGCCACCCAGGTGTCCCTTCTGTGGTGAATTTTGTATAAAATGTTATTATCTCTGATTTTTGTGTAAATTGTTATATTCACATGCTGACTTTTGCAAAAAAAAAAAAGGTTTAATTTTGTACAATTCTTTTGTATTTCCACACCTATTATCTTACATGGGTAAAAAGAGGGATACTCTTATTTCCAATGAGAAGAGGAAGTCTGGCACTGACAGATTAGGAGATTACTCTAAATTACACAGACCAGTGTAATTTAATATCCACTAAACTGTCCTTGAAGCTGGGTTTATATTCAGATATACTGACTCCTTGTCCACTTTTTTCCTCCACTACACCAGACAATCCCTGGGAAACAAGAATATACTTGTTAAGTATATGCAGAAATTATTCTTTTATTAAAAGGGCATATAGTTGGCATTCACTGTGTGTTAAATTAAAAACAGCATGTAAGGTCTATTACTGAACCTCGTTCACTTAAGTACATACCTAGTTAAGAGTTATTATTCAAATTCCTCGTTTTGATAAACGTATTTTAATGGAACTGTTCTCGCCTAATGAAAATTTAACTGCAAGACTTACTATTTTTAAGACCGTTTCAATTTGGGGCCTAGCACATCATGTTCGAAAGGTGCTTCCCTACCCCGCCCCTTCTCCTCATGTGAATTATTATACTTCCTCCTGCCTGGTGTAAACCACACTTTGCCTGCCAAACTTATGGCTGAATACCCCCGAGGACTTTCTCCAGCCTCCCAGCCGCCGCTCAGAAACCCAAAGCCGTTTCCACGTGAAACAACCAAACACAGTCCACTAAGCCTAAGGTCCGCTACAGTGACGGCTCGCGTATAAAAGGCGAATGAGAAGGCAGCGCCCCCTTCTGCTCCCACCCCCTCCTCGACTGCATCATCCAATCGCTTTTCTTTGTCGTGTGGTCCGCGCCTCGGATTGGTCGGAAACGGGACCAGCGCGAGACCAGTGCGCACGGGCCGAACGCCGAGACTTGTCCGTCAAGTGCGGCCGTCGGTCCTCCCCGCCTCGCTGCGCGCTTGGCGAGGCTGGGGGGCGGGGCCCGGGAGCTGCTGCGCCTGCGTTGTGGGCGTTCTCCCGGAGCAGCAGCTGCCGCCGCCGCCGCCGCCACCACCTCCACCACCGCCGCCGCTGCCGCCGCCGCCGCCACCGCTACCGCCACCGCCGTGTTCGGGTGTAGAATTTGGAATCCCTGCGTCTCGTTCACAATGAAGCAGAGTTCGAACGTGCCGGCTTTCCTCAGCAAGCTGTGGACGCTTGTGGAGGAAACCCACACCAACGAATTCATCACCTGGAGCCAGGTACGGGTGAGGGCACGGCGGCCTCCGAACCCCTTGACTAACCGCCGTCTCTCTCTCTCTGTCTCTCCCTGTCGCGGGGTTGTCTCTCGCGGCCTGCGGCTCGACGCCCTCTGCGAGGCCCGCGGCGCGGGGTGGCGCGGGCCCGCCGGTCAGCCTCGCGAGGGACCCCTTGTATTGTTCGCGCGGGGAGCCGCGGGGGTCCCGGCCGGCGCCGCTGGCTCAGGCCGCGGTGGGGGAGGGGCGGCCCGCGCCGGGCGCCGCGGCCCGGGAGGCCCCGTAACGGTCTGGCCCCGTCGGCGTTCGGAACCGGCCCGGCAGGGCGAAGGCGGCCGACGAACCGAGGGCGCCGGAGCCACGTTACTGCACACTCATTCTCCGTCCTCCCTCCGGGCTCGCGGGTTACGAATCGCCGAGGGCACAGGCAGTCCTGGGCGCGAGGGTTTGTCTGAGGAAATCTTTACCTCAGCGACCCGATTCTCCTCACTAAAACGGACACCCCGCTTGGTGCCTGGGTTCTTTATGAGGAGAGCAGTCAGAGGGATACTGGCAAATGTTCAAGCGCAGGTTACTGTTTCTCAGTGGGTTTTGAAAGCTTGATTAGAAAATGGTACATCATTCTTTGGAAATCCTGAGCCATTTGTATACACGGGTTTTTGTGATTATTTTAATAATCTAATAGGTGTTCAGTAACTTGGTGAGAAGCTGACATGAATCACTAAATTTCACTGAACAGTGGCTGAGCGAGTGGGATATGATGCCTTGATTATTGGTTTGATCCCAACTCTGCCACTAAACAGGAATGACCTTAGTCAAGCTCCTTATCTTGTCTGACCTAAGTTTCATCGTCCTTAAGATGACTGGGTTGCCTGGGTGATCCGAGACCCTTCTAGTTCCAAATACTAAGGTTCTAAGCAGAATGATTATTACATAAACAGTGCATTTGCGTTTGAATGCACTCTCAGGCTGTTGGAATAATTTTATGACGTGGAATGGATTTTTTCTTATTGTGGATGATCATTTGTTTTTGGGTATTTTCTTGTTGAGAGGGTTGCAGAAGCCTAAGTGAAATCTACCCTCACAGTGCCTGGCACCTGTTAAGTGCTGAGTAAATGTTACCTCCCTTCTTTCTCCCTTTCTATTCCTTTCCTGTTGTAGGAGCTCTCACTTTTACTTACTTTTATCTTAAGAGGGAGCACTATATTGAGTACATGAAGTTTCTGACTACTGTTAACACCATATTCTTTCTTATATTACTGTCATTTGTTCATTTTTTTTATACCCCTTCTAGGACTTCATTTTTTTGAAGGTCAGTATCATCAGCTGAATGGTGTGTGTTAAGTATTTGATGAATTCTTTACAGTGTACAAAGAAAGGTGAAAATAAGAAAGCCAGCCGCCAGCAGCATACACTTAAAAATAAACAGATGTCTCATGCTTTTCATCAGTCAGAAGGATTAAAAGTTGACAGGGATGGATCAGCACAGACTGCTGTTAGTCATCCTTGTATGTATTAGAGTTTGGACTGAGAGTCTCTCTCCCACCCAAGCTGACTTTATTATACGTTTTTTGGCTTGTATGGCCATTTAAAAAAATAATTCTTATTTATCCAATTAGGTCTAAGCTTATGTTTTACTAATTTTCTTATACATAGTGGGACAATTAAAATATAAATTCACTGAGGGCAGAAACAGTGTTTATGCCAAGGATACATTAGGTATTTAATAATGATGAATCAATGAAATCCTTAGGATGTGTAATAGAAGTGGTAGGGATGATAAAGATAAAATTATGCCCTGAAAAGAATCTTAGAGATAATCCAGTTTGGCCTCATCATTTTATAGATGATGATTGAGGCTTAGGTTAGATTTCTTATCCATAATTACAAAACTACCCATTATTGGAGGTGGGACTCTAACATAGATTTCTGACCTCTCAGATCAGTCTTCCATCAACAGCACTTCCCTTAATACAGGTTGGCACAATACATAGTTTTAGTTTTATATCAAAATATTATCCTTTTACAAGTCAGTGGACAGTTCTGGATTAATGTTGTCTTGGCCTTAGCTTAGTTGCTCATGATGTCTGTCTCTATTACTTTCCAACAGACTTTTCCAAAAGCAGTGTTAACAATGAAATGAAAGGTAAAACATTAATTAAACAATGTTGTTAAATGGAAAAAACAAAATAAGTTACTCTCATCTTTTAAAAGTTGCTATTTATGGTTGTTTCTGGTTTCCTTCAAACGTGTTTTGCTGAATTACTGTCAAGGTGATTTAGCATTTTTACTGTCTGAGTGAAAATCATATTAAGACCTTTTAGAAGCAGCAGATGTTTTAGAAACCAGGCAATCTTTTATGCAATTTTCTTTTCACTTGTGGAAAATAATTTACTCCTCTAGCTTGAGAGTAGGGCAAGGGGGAAAAACAACTGCAGCTTGAAAAGTTTGGCTTAAGATTCTTGAAGACTTACTTTTACAGCTAGTTTTTCTTGAAACTTGTAATTTGACAAAAATGAAATAATGCCCCCATTCTCATGATTAATTATAGAAATACAATATTCTGAGCAATCAAAACTATACTAAATGTGTTATTAATTCAGATAGTAGAAATGTCTTTAGATCCCCAGAGTATCTTTAAAAGATTTGTACATATTTTTTCTCCATATTCTCCCCTTGAAAGTTTCTTTCTTCGGGGCGCCTGGGTGGCTCAGTTGTTTAAGCGTCCGACTTCAGCTCAGCTCATGATCTCACGGTTCGTGGGTTCAAGCCCTGAGTTGGACTCTGTGCTGACAGCAGCTCAGAGTCTGGAGCATGCCTTCAGATTCTGTGTGTGTCTCTCTCTGACCCTCCCCTGCTCATGCTGTCTGTATCTCTCTCTCAAAAATAAATAAAACATTAAAAAAAAAAAAGAAAGAAAGTTTCTTTTCTTTCTTTCTTTCTTTTTTTTTTTTTAACATTTCCTATAACTTCAAAATTTTATATAGCTCTTTTGGCTCTGGAAGGCAGTCTATTGGCAGAATCAGTTACAGAGATAGTACTGTTAGACCACATAAAGCTGTTTTAAATGTAACCAAGCCCTAAACAGAAGGCACAGGTTTAACTTGGAAACAACTGCAGAAACTTGATATTCAGGGACAAGAGGTTGTGGAAGTTGGATGGAAGTTCTTGCCATTGATAGTGAGGAACAGTCTTTACTGGTACTGAAATTTGATAGTCAGTGTATGTCAAAGTGAAGCAGTTATAAACGCAGGAAAAAACTGGAAGTCATTGTTTTATTAGTGTTATTACCTTTGTCTCTGTTCTTCATATTGTTTGAGAAGACCAAGAAGTGATTGCCGCTGAAGACCTCATACTCATCTGTTCCACCTTTTTGTGCCCTTTGACATTCTCTACTTCTCCATCTCTCTCAAATCAGTATAGACAAATCAGGAAATAGGAGGGAAATGGAGCAAAACCAGAATTAGTCTCCTATTTTGTAGCTATTTTGGATGAATTTGAGCATCCAAAATCTGATGTTTTGGGATCGTTTTGAACTTCCCAGCAACCATTGCATTATTACACTAAGTTGAAGACAAGAAAGCCACAGGTGTGCCAGAATAGGGGTAAAATCCACATTAAATAATTCTACAGAAAAGTTGAACGATTCATTGATGAGTATTTTTTGTTTGTATACATAAAAGGGAGTGAACTAAAGACTCAGAAGGAATGACTGGTGAACATTAAAAAGTTATGGATTGTTTTTTAAAAAGTTCAAATTTCTCTACTGAAAAATGTTTTAAATTAATGGGATTAAAATATTAGATTATTTAAGAATATTTTGGATGTTCTTAACTGAGTACCAAATTCAGCAGTAACACTGTTGTTATTTGGAAGCTTGCCAACCGTTATGGGTAAAGGCTAAAAAGAAGCTACCCATCTCTCCCACCTTACACAGTCAGTAGTGGCTTTCAGCCCCTTATGAAATGTGTTGGGAGAGTTCTGTGTTGTACTGTTTGAGCTTCACAGTTTTAAATGGCAGTAGGTTGGAATTTTTGCACTCAGAGGTTGTCAACTAATTTTAGAGTGGAGACTGAAGGAATGACATAAGCAGAGACACAGAATATGAGTGAAGGAGGGTTGTATGAGAGAGGGAGAGCACCTACAGATATAAGTAAGGGGCAGTCATTTGTTTCATTTGGTATGATCCAAGAATTGAACTTCTAAAAAGATAATTTGGTCCACTGTGGCCAATGATTCATTTATTTGATTACTCATAAATATTTATCATGAATATTTTATGACCAGACAGTGTGCTAGGTACTAGGAATTCATTTAGTAGTGAACAAAGTGACTTCATAGACCTTATATTCTAGTGGAGGACACTGATAATTAAAAAGTAAGCAAACACAGATAATATAATTTCAGTTAGTAGTAAGTACCATAAAGGAAATAAAGAAGTGTAAAGAGAGGTAAGATACCAGTTAGGACCAAGTAGGAGACAGAAGTCACAGTATAAAAAATGGAAAGAATTGCTTTTAAATATTATAAGCAAGGAAAGTGTAGTAGAATTACTAACTATATCAGAGGAATTGGACTAAAATCTAAAGAATATAGGCCTGGCAGTTATAAGAAGAATATAATGGTGACTCACTTAATGACAGAGAAGCCACTGGTTCCACTTTGGTGGAACTTATTAGAAGCTCATCCTTCAGAACTTGTGGGGAAATATGCCTTCTAAAGCAGCAGTTTGCAAACTATTGCCCATGGGCTAGCCATCTGTTTTGTAAATAAAGTTTAATTGGAACATAACCATGCTCAGTTTATTTCTATATTGTCTTTAACTGTTTTTTGCTACAAGAGCAGTATTGTGACCTTACCTGAAGCCAAAAATATTTACTAACCCTTTAAGAAAAGGTTTATCCATCCTTGCTCTAGAGCACCCTTGAAGCTATTCATGGGGACATGTCTTGCTAGAAGTACTCTGGTTTGAAACCATCAAAGGGGGAGAGAAAGCTGAGGGAAGC